CTATAATTTTATTATTTGGGGCCTTCTCCTTCTTTCTTTTGGATAGATTGGCTAAGACCTCTTTAATCTTGTTCATCTTTTCAAAGACATCTACTTTTTGTTTCATATATCTTCTCCCTGATCTTTATAATTTCTTTCCATCTATTGTTTTTGGATTTGCTTCTTCTTGTATTTTCTAAGAGTTTGAGATGTATCATCCCATTTTTTGGGAACTCTCTGATTTTTGAATTAAGGCACTCGTAGCTATAGACTTCCCTAGTAACATGGCCATTGCTATGTACCAATGGTTCTGGTAAGTTATGTTTTCATTTTTGCTTCATTTTGGGAATATTTGAATTTCCTTCCTTATTTCTTCAATGATCCAGTGATCATTCAATAGTAAATTGTTCAGTTTCCAGGTACTTGGACATTTTCCATGGTTTCTCCTGTTACTGATTTCTAGTTTTATTCCTTTGTGGTTTGATAGAATACAGGAAATTATTTCAGTCTTCTTGTATTTATTAAAACTAACATTATGCCCCAAGATATGACCTGTTTTTTTAATGTTTGCTGGAACTTTTCCATTATAAGTTTTTATTATTTATTTATTTTCTTGTTTATTCATATGTGCATACATTGTTGGGCCTTTCTCCCCCTATCCCTCACCCTCTCCCTCTCCCCCTCCCACCCCCTTGCTTTCAGGCAGAATCTGTTCTGTCCTTATGTCTAATTTTGTTGAAGAGAGAGTACAAACAATAATAAGAAAGACAAAGCATTTCTTTTGCTAGTTGAGATAAGGATAGATATACAGGGAGGTTCCTAGCATTGATTCCATGTATAAATGTGTTACATTCTAAGTTGATTAATCCCTAACTGACCTTTTCTCTATTTCCTGATCCCCTTCTCATATTGACTTCTATCACATTAAAGTTTCTGTATTAGTTCCTCTGCAGTAAGTACCTCAAATGCTATCATGTGTTTTGGGTTTCTTACCTACCCCCCCTACCTCCAATGTGTGTTCTCACCTTATCATGTGACCCAAGTCCAATCACATTGCTGTATTTGCCCTAGATCTGAAGTCCGCATATGAGGGAGAACATATGATTTTTGGTATTACCTGTTTTGAAGAAAATTTCATGGGCTGCTGAGAATGTGTATTCTGTCACTGTTGTGTGGAATATCTTGTAGATGTGTGTTCCTGAAATTTGTCTGTTGAGTTTTTGTCTGGATGACCTGTCTGCTGGTGAGAATGTGGCATTAATGTCACTTACTGTTATCATGTTGGGGTCTGTTTACGTTTTTATGTTCAGTAGTGTTTGCTTTATGAAATTGTGTGTGCTGATGTTTGATGTGTATATGTTTGCAATTGTTATCTTCTCTTGCTGGATTGTTCCATATCAGTATGAAGTGATTTCTTTGTCTCTTCTGATAAATTTGGATTTGAATTCTGCTTTGTCAGATATGAGTACAGTTTCTCCAGCTTGTCTTTGGGTTCCATTTATTAGACTATCTTTTTCTATACTTTCATTCTAAGCTGATGTTTGTCTTTGCCATTGAGGTGCACTTCTTGTAGGTAACAAATAGTCAAGACTTATTTTTTAAAACCCAATACACTGGTCTGTATCTTTTGTTGGAGAATTGAGACCACTAACATTCAGAGTTATTATTGAAAGATATATAGTAATTTCTGCCATTTTATTGGTTTTGTAGTGCTTGATTCTTCCTCACTCCTCATTTTCTTACTACTTGTCTATTGAGATTTATTCTTTCCTATATTTTCATATCTTTCTATTCTGTGTTTATGAATCCTATAAGAACCTTTTATAGTGCTGCTTTAGTGGTCATTAATTGCTTTAGTTTTTGTTTATCATGGAAGATTTTTATTTCTTCTTCAATTATGAAGGATAGCTTTGCTAGGTACAGTAATCTAGGTTGGCAGTTATTTTCTTTCTTTGCTTGAAATTTATTATTCCATGCCCTTTTCTTTTAATGTTTATATTAGCAATCTGTTGTCATTCTTTTGGGTTTGTTTTTATATGTGAGTTGGTGCTTCTCTATCATGTTCAATATTCTATCTTTGTTCTGTATTCTTTGTTTTAACTATAAAATGATATGGAATGATTCTGTTCTGCTCTTGTCTGTTTGAGATACTAAAAGCCTCCTGTACATGGATGACAAACTCTGTCTCAAGATTTGAGGCATTTTCTGCTATTAAAGTATTGGATATATTTTCTATGCCTTTAGTTTGCACATCTTTTCCGTCTTCTATACTGATAGCTTATAGGTTTGGTTTTTTAATGGTGTCCCAGAGGTCTTGCATATTCCACTCATACTTCTTTAGTTTGTCCCTCTATGTTCATCTGTATGTTCTAACACATATACTTTGTCAAGCCCTGACATTTGGTCTTCAGTTTGATACAGTTTATTGGAGAGACTCTTGACTGATTTTTTAATTTGACTTATTGAGCTTTTTCATTTCCATAATTTCAGTATGATTTTTTTCAGAATATCTACTTTTTATTGAATTCCTCTTGTTTTACATTGTGTTCTTTATTTTATTCAGTTCTTTTTTGAATTTTCTTGGCATTTATTTGTGTCCTTTAATTTCATTGATCATTCATATAACTCTTTAAAAATTTCTTTGTGAGATTTCATCCATTTCACTGTCATTAGTGTTTTTAACCACGGACTTGAGTTTTAGAGAAATCATGTTGCCTTGTTTTTTCCATATTACTTATGTTTGTGCCCTGGGATTTGCACGTGTGAGGCCAAATCATTAGTTGGAAGTTTTAACCATTTGTAGTTTTTCAGTTGAAATATTCTCAATGTTTAGGAAGCACAGTGAAGTGGTCAGTTTAAGTGCTACTTCTCACCATTGAATTGAGAGTATCATTCAGTTTCCATGCATTTACCACATGCTCAGGGCACAGGGTCTCATTCCCAGCACCACTCACATACAGTTAAACTAGCTGGTAGCTCTTGTAGAAGGGTTGTTTGTCCACGTCTGGGCTGCTTCCACTATAGAAGTTTTCCTTTCTCTGTGTACTGTGTACTGCTGCTGGCTGCATACAACCTGTATACTGGGCAGGTTCCTACTTGCTCCAGAAGCTCCCCAGTTTGTGTTCCCAGGGTGAGCAAGTGTCCGGTTCTTCAGGTGACACCCAAAAGTGGGAGCAAATAGAGAACTGAGTTCTGCACTGGCTTGGAGAAAATGGAGAGCACTAGTCTCTCTGTCTGCTGGTCTCAATATTACATACCACATCCAGCAGTTCCCCTTCCTGTGGGAAGGAGGGAGTAGCTGTGGAAGTCTCACATTTCAGATGATCTGAACTCAAGCCCTGAGTCCTATATAGCAACAAACAAACATTGGAATGTAGTTCCCAGAGGTGTGTCTCAGTGATTTCAGACTCCACCTAGCAGTTTACCTCCCTGTATAAGAGAGGAAGCTGTGGATGTCACTTAATTTGGAGGGTCTGGTCTCAGGGCCTCAGGCAGGCCTGGTAGCTAACATTTGCTGGGATACAGTTCCTGGAGGTGAGCCTCAAACCTTGCACAGCAGTTTGCATCCTTGCTGGGAGAAACAGGCTGTGGAAATTATGTGATTCAGCAGGTCTGGATTCTGGGCCCTTAGACACGCTTGTCAAAAAACACAGTTTGGGATGTAGTTCCCAGAGGTAGGTCTCAATGTTTTCAGACTCTGCCCAACAGTTCTCCTACCTGTGTGATGCAGAAGGCTATAAATATTACATAGTTTAGAGGGTCTGAGCTCAGGGCCCTGTCATATACCTAACAGCCAACACACACCTCCAGGAGGTTGGCCCTGGAGGCTGAATATTATACCAGTCACAGGCATAGTGCCTTGCTCCCACTATAACCCTCAGGCAATGGGAACTGTTCCTCACCAGAGAAGATGGGGCCTCCCGCCACTAAACGCTTCACTTCTGGAGCTCCCCATTTCTTGAAATCTCTGCAGGATCATGCCAGATCATGCCTTTTTCTCTCCATGACCATCTCTTATGATTGTGTTGCACCCAGACACCGTGGCATGGTGTCCCAGGACTTCCGGGCCCATGACTGTTCTTTTTTCCAAACCCTCAGAGTATCTCAGTCTCAATAGGCCCCTTCTCAAGATGACATTTTGCTATATCTGTCTGAGGTAAAGAGAACAACAAAATGTCTTTCTTCACTGAAGGTAGTTTTGCACACTGGAGCAGACATTATTTCACCAAATCAGCATACTGGGTATAAGACTTGCTGGAGGAGAGGGATTTATCTTGCAGCTAAAAATTACCAGTCTGTCACTAAGGTCACCTGGCTTACCTTGTGATTGAGTCTTCAAACTTCTCCCCAGGGAGATGGGGATGGGCTTGGAACTGTGTGTTGCCTTTCTCTATTGACTGGGTTTCTCTGTGACTTTCTGTTACCACTTTCACTGTTCCCAATGCTCTTTCTCTGTCTCTTCAGAATATAGCTTCTCTTGTGTTGCCTGACTCTTCTCATCCATGGAGTCCAAATAGTGAATGCTTCAAATCTACCATCTTGCCCCAAAAGTAATGATGAGGACCCAAGATGGGCATGTTCCCCCACTTATTATATAACCCGAGTTATATAATAATCTGTTATATATAATCTCAGTTTCTCCCTCTGGCACAGATTCCACTTTTGCTCAATGAAAATAAAAATGGTAAAACTTACCTTTAATGATTGTCATGAGGACTAAATGACATAATGAGAGAGTTTATGGAAACTTCCTCCAAAAGAGTATTTTAGGGGTACATTAAAATATACTCATTTTATCAATGTAGTGATTATTTTCTTTTTTCCCAAGTGGCAACAATTTTCTTTGTGACAATAAAAGAAATATATTATCATTGCAAAATATGTAGCAAAACAACATGAAACTAAAACTCCAAACCACACTCCCAAGCCAACCAAACTGCATATAAATGGGATAATTTTATAGAGTATTACAGCCTAAATTTTCCACATAATCACATTAATAGTGTGGTTAGGGGAATACATCACCTTCCTGATACCATGAGTTCCATTTCAGTGGCCAGAGGCCGCATCCAGAGATAGATATTCATTGTGAACAGGGCACTGGCACTGTTGAAAGCAGAAGTCAAGGAAGACATGAGGGCAGCACATATTGTGGACACCATTAAGCCTTGTAGTCCTGGAAAAGAAAGGACATTTTTTGAACTTCCAACGCTCTGACCATGGCAGGAGATGACTTAAACCTCCTAAGGAATTTTTTTGAATACTAAATTTTCTTCTTCAAAACATTTGAATTTTACTTAGAGTGGAATTCCATCCAGGATAGATGATAACATCTATCTTTGTTCTTTGTTTGTGACAAGACTTATAGCTTCCTGCTGTGTCTCTATACAAGAATGGCTGCTAATATCTCTTAAGTGGTTAGTTTTGGCAAGAACATCTCTTCTGGCATTAGCCTGCATCATTCTCTATATAGTCCTGTGATAAGGACACCATTGCTTACCCTTCATGTACAGGTAAAGAGCCAGAGGCTCAGAGAAGTTTCAGACTAGAGGCAAATGATGTAGCTATTTGTGCTTTAGTGTTCTCATCTGTGAAGTGGGCATACAGTACCTACCATATAGAAGTGGTGCTAAGATTAAGATAAATTAAGTAGCCAGATTAGCACAATGCTCAATATAGAGCAAGTGCTCTAGAAACACTAGTTATAAACATTACAAATCTGATATGAATACCTGGAAGGCTACCATGTGACAGGGACATTAACTGTTTGGAAGTTTCTATGTACTTCTGGGAAAGCCTGCATATAATCTGACCTGGAACCTGGCTTAGAAGCTCGCTGTGGCAATGCCACAACTCTTATCAGTGGACCACTCAGGGCAGGCAGACATAGGCAGGGTTCTTTGGATTTGCCTTCCTTCAACTTCTCACTTACTTGCAACCCTGGTTGTTCTAACCTAGGGTGTGTTTTGGCTGTAATGTGCTATATGTATTTTATGGAAATGTCTCAACTTTTCCAATGTGTTGTTCCACATCTAACACAGAATTATTTTTTGAAAATATATATTTGGCCATTTCAATGACATTTTGGGAAGCTGAAATAAATGCATGGCTTACTGTCCTCTCAGAGTGAAAGTTACTTACTTTTGGGTAATTGACCTGCTTCTTGCCTACCCCACTACATAGTGAGCTCTTTGGGGGACAATATTAGTCTTGCTTATGTTTGTGTTTTCCTCGTTTAGAACAGTGACTTGCACAGTATGGAGTCTATTTTCTGAATTAATGACCAAGGTCATCAGTTAAGCAGGTTAAATGAATAATGTAAATGGCATTGTCAGGTTGTGCACCCGCAGAGTTGAGAACTACCACTGTGCAAGGAACAGAGAGGGAGAAGGTCCTTCCTCTGCAGAGTAAGCAAGGCAACTCCACTGTACAAACACGCTTCCCATTCCACAGCCTGCATTTCCATCCCAGAATTATGGGAAGGCTGGTAAAGAAGCTCCCCCAGTAACCTCACTCCTAATTTGCCACTTATAGCTGGAAGACACAGGTTCCAGTGAGGGTTCTTAGGCCCTTGGTGGCAGAGTCTGTTTCTTACCGGTAGGCAGCACTGCTGTCACCAGCATTGGATAAGCCAGGAGGCTGCAAGTGGTTTCAGCACCACAATACTTTTGACATTCTGATGGCACAACACATGCCACTTCATCTGCAGAGAGAAATAACAATCGCATCAACACAATGGCCTTAGGGTTCTAAAATCTGGGTTCAGGATAAGGGAAGCAAATTAGCAATCACATATTGACATGTAGATATTAGATTCTTGGTTTGCTCATGATTACTCCAATTCATGACACTACACAGCATCAAGAGCTTGGGCTAGAGGAAAAAGCTAGAACTCAGGCTCCTAAGAGTCAAATGAATCAGAGCTTCTACTGACTTACTGCATGACTTAAGGCAAGTCATGGAACCTCAGAAAAACTTTCAATGATCCCAGCTGGGTGTTAGGAAAGCCAATGGATTATTCTCCACATGCTAACTTAGGAACAGCTTAGAACTTACTCTGTTGGCCCTGAGAGGGGTGTCAATTCAGATTAATAACTTGAGACTCCAGGTCTTAGAGAGCAGAGGGCCTATTTTCTATTTTATGAGGAACTACCACCCAGAAGGTCTAACAAAGCACCCCTTCACTTATGAATATCAAATTGGAAATGTTGATACTCCACGCTGTTAAAACTAGAAAGAAATTAGGCTAGAAAGAAAGGTTTGTCTCAGGAGCAGATTGAAGGATGTGTTAGGGTTAGGGATGTCCACTGTACATGTTATCACTATAACCTGCTCTTGAAGAGGGAAGATGGCAGATTTCAGATTCACACTACATTGCTCTGTCTCCACTAACCAGAAATAAAAATTCAGGTATGTGGCTACAAAGAAAGGTGGGTGAGTTAGCAAGCCAGGACCACCAGTAAAAGATTAGACAGATAATGACTAGAGAACACTTACACAAATACTTAACTTTAGAATAAAGAGATAATCTGCTTGGGTGAAGGCCAAGAAGAACCTTGCCAAATTGGTTTCTGACCAGCAAATGTGTCCCTCTGCTGAGGCAAAAAGCAGACCTGGAAGCAAGGAATCCAAGTAATGGCCAAATCCCTAAGAGCGCCACCAAGCCCAGCAGTTGTAAAAACTGGCCATGAGAGAAACTTTTGACAGTGCAGGCTAAGGAAAAGTTACACATTTTGGACTGAGCTAGGGGTAGGGTAAAGCCCCTCAGCAATTGAATATCCAGCCCAAGACAAAGGGTGGATACTGAAGTGAACAAGATGGCTACAGCCATAAACTCACTGCTCAACCCAGTGCTCTCTCTCTCTCTCTCTATATATATATACATATCAAATAGTATACAAATATAGTGATATATATATATATATATATGCACAAATGACAAGGGTATTTGCCCTTCACTTTGTAAATGAAACATTAAATTGGAGGCATAGGTGGAAAAGAAAAATCTTGCTATTGACAAGCTTGACAAGCTGTGTCAGGGCAAGATGCAGATTTCAAGAGTGGTACACTTGTATACCACTAGCTGTGCTCATACACCCCTCTACTAACTCCAAAATGTTACCTCACATCCCACCAAACCTCAGCAGAGGAGACTAAACTCTGGGAATTGCTGCTATTCCACAGGACCTGCCCTACCTTACCCCAGCAGCCAACCACAAAACATCACACCCAGATTATACCCAGGCAATCTGGGGTCCAGAAGGATTGCATGAATAAACACAATAGAACTGCAGACAGAGCCCTGCTGGCATAAATTTTTTTCCTCAACAAGGAAGAAACACTGATTTTTATTTTTAAGTATTAATTTATTTTCATTTTCTTTACAAATTTTGTATTGATAGTTCATTCTCCCACCTTTTAAAAATTATTCTTAATTTTCTATCCCTTTGCAATCCCTGACTATAGCATCCATCTCCATAATACTTGAACTATATTCCTGCACATTATTATTTGTTTACCTCCAGCCCACATATTTTGCCTCTACTTCCCAGACTTCCTTATTTCTTCTTTAACTTCTTTATTTTTCAGTCTAATTTTAACTCTTCAACAAACAGGTTTTTTTAACCTCCTTAGTGTTATAATTTAAGAAGTCTAGTCCCTTTTACATATAATGTGATCAGTTATATAGATAATGTCACCAATGGTTTATTTACTTCATGTAAATATCTGGTTTGTTATTGAATTGGTGGATTTATTATTGTTCAGTTATACCCAAGGCCAGTGCTAAGAAATAACACATGAATCCTACTCATAGAATAAGAATATAAATACATCCATGAAAATAAGGGAAAACATAAATCTCATCATTAGACAGTAGCTAAGCAAGTGAGGAGTAGTGAGGAATCAAACACTACAAAAACAACAAAATGGAAGAAATTACTACAAACCTTCCAATATAGACCTTTCTGTAGACATTTCTGCATGTTAATGATCTAAATCATCCTTTCAAAAGACATGGAGTAGTGGACTGGATTAAAAAACAAGATCCAACCATTTATTGTCTACAAGAAATGTACCTCACTGATAAAGACAAACACATACTTAAAGTGAAAGGATGGAAAATGATCTTCTAAGTAAATGCAGACCAAAAGCAAGCAGAAGTAGCCAAACTTTTATCTGATGAAGCACATTGTAAACAAAAATTAGTCAGCAGAAACAATGATTGTCACTTCATATTGATAAAGGGAATATTCCATGAGGAGGATTTAACTATTGTAAACATATATGCACTGAATGTTGGTACACTCGATTTCACAAAGGAAATACTACTCAACATGGAAGCTCATACAGACCCTAACACAGTTAAGAGCAAGTGACTTTAATAACTCACTCACCAATAGATAGGTCATTCAGACAAAAAATCAATAAGGAAATTTCAACATTGACACTAGATCAAATTAACTTAATAGATAGTTATAGAATATTCCACCAAAGAGTCACAGAATACACATCTGGAACTTTCTCCAAAACTGATCACAGTTAGGACCTAAAGTATGCCTTAACAGTTAGAAGAAAATTAAAATAACCTCTTCTATTCTATCAGACCAAAATGTAATAAATCCAGAAATGAATAACAAGAGAAACTACAGAAAATATTCTAACATGTGGAGACTGACAATTCACTTTGAATGAAATAAGGTAGGAAATAAAAAATTGCTAGAAGCCAATGAAAATGAAAACACAACTTACCAGAACCTTTGGAAAACAGCAAAGGAAATGCTAAGAGAAAAATTTGTAGCTATGAGGGACTATATTAAAAATTAGAGAAATTTCAAATAAATAACCTAATGATGCATCTCAAGCTCAGAAAAACAAGAAGTGAAACCTAAAAGCAGTAGATGGAAGGAAATTATAAAGATTTGGGCAAAAATTAATAAACTGGAGACTGAAAGAATACTACAAAGAACCCCTGGTTCTTTGAAAACATCAAGATTGATAGACCTCTAGGCAAATTAACCAAAAGAAAGGGATAGAAACAACTTAATAAAATTAGAGATGAGAAAGTTGACATTATAAAAAAACACCAAAGAGGATCATTAGGGAATACTTTGAAAACCTATTTTTTAACAGACTAGAAAACCTAGAAGAAATGGATAAATTTCTAGGTGCATATGATCTACCAAAATTGAGCCAAAAGAATATAAATCCCATAAGCATGTATGATAAGCAATGAAATTGAAGCATTAATAGTCATCTGACAAAGAAAAGCCTACCTATGACTGGATGGATTCAGTGCTGAATTCTATCAAACCTTTAAAGAGAACTTATACCAATACTACTCAAGCTATTCCATAAAGTAGAAAGAAAAGGCACACTGCCAAACTCATTCTGTGAAGCTAGTATTACCTTGGCATCTTAACCAGGAAAGGACAGTACAAAAAGATAATTATGAACCAATTTCCATGATTGACATAGACACAAAAATTCTCAACAAATTATTTGCACACTGAATTCAAGAACAGATTAAAAAGATCATACACCATGATCAAGTTGGTTTCATTCCAGGGATGCATGGATGGTCCAATATATATAAATCAACCAATGTAATATAGAACATAAACAGAATAAAACACAAAAATCACACAATAATTTCAATGCAGAAAAAGCCTTTGACAAAATTTAACATCCCTTCATGATAAAATCCTCGAAGATACTAGGAATAGAACAAACCTCAACATAGTATGTTGTATGCTGTAAACCTATAGTTAACATTGTTCTATATGGGGGAGACTGAAACCACTTCTTCTAGTCAGAAATGAGACAAGGGTGTCTACGTTCTCCACTTTTATTCAGTGTGGTACTTGAACTCTTAGCCAGCGCAAAAAGGCAATAAAAAGAAACAAAAGACATACAAATAGGAAAGGAAGAAGTCAAATTATACCTATTTACAAATGATATCGTTCTATATTTAAAGGACCCAAGACTTCACAAAACAACTCTTAGATATGATAAATGCTTATGACAAAATAAGAGGATACAAATCAATTGTTAAGAAGAGTAGCTTTTCTATATACCAAAAGTGAGCAGGATGAGAAAGCAATTGAGAAGACAACTACATTCACAATATCTTAAAATAAATGAAATACCTAGGGATTAACTTGACTAAGGAGGTGAAAGAGCTCTACAATGGAAACTATAAGACACTGAAGAAAGAAACTGAGGATGACACTAGAAGATGGAAAGGCCACCTATATTAATGAATCAACAGAGTTAATATTGTGAAAATGGCTACATTACTGAAGCAATCTACAGATTTAATGCACTCTCCATCAAAATTCCAATGATATTCTTCACAGAAATAGGAAAATCAATTATAAAATTCATTTGGAAGTACAAAAGACCCTGAATAGTCAACGCAATCCTGAGCAAAACCAGCAATGCTGGAGGAATCACAATACCTGAATTCAAATTACACTATAAAGCTATACTAACAAAAACAATGTGGTATTTACACAAAACAGAGATGCAGATCAATGGAATGGAATAGAAGACCAAGGAATAAGCCCAAACAGCAACCACCATCTGATTTTGACAATGGCACCCAAAACCTAAGTTGGAGAAAAGATAGTATGTTCAATAAGTGGTGCTAAGAAACTTGGATACTGACATGTAGAAGACTGAAACTAGACCTTTGTCTCTCTCCTTATACAAAGTTGTTAAATGGATCAAAGATCTAAATGTAAGGCCTGAAAAATTTAAAATATCAGAATATAACAGGGAAGATGCTTGAAGATACAGGCACAGGTTAATGCTTTTCTGAGTAGAACTACAATTGCTCAGAAAATAAGAATTAAAAAATGGAATTGTATTAAACTCAAAATCTTCTGCATAGCAAAGGAAACAATTACTATAATCAAAAGAATACGTACAGAATGGGAGACAATCCTTGCCATTACTTATTGGATAAAGAATTGATACCGAGAATACATAAAGAGCTCCAAAAATTGATCACGAGAATAAATAATCCCCAGTTAATAAATGGGGAGATGAATTGAACAGTTTTCTCAAGAAGTGTAAACGGCTAATAAATACATGAGGAAGAGTTCAATATCCTTAGCCATCAATGAAAAGCAAACTGAAGCATCATTGAGATTCCATTTTACCCCAGTCAGAACAGCTCACATCAAGAAAATAAACAATAAAGCTGATGAGGATGTGGTGAAAAAGGGACCTCTAAATACTGTTGGTGGGAATGTAAAATATTGCAACCACTATGGAAATCAGTATGGAGAGTCCTTTAAAAATTAAAGATAGAACTGCCATATGATCCTGTAATAGCACTCTAGGCATATATCCAAATGAATGTAGATCACATACAATAGAGATACCTGCATACCGATGTTTATAGCAGTATTATTCATAAACCAGAATATGGAATTAACCTAGGTGCCCATCAACTGATGAATGGATAAAGAAAATGTGGTGTATATATACAGGGAATATGTACTTTATACCCTTGAATGAAAATATAACTATGAGACGTATTGACATTGTTTTAAGAAGCACGGAGGAAGAATGAGAGGGATATGAAAGGGGATGAGTTTGATTGAAGAATGTTGTGTGCTTGTGTAGAAGTATCACAATAAAATCCCTATCTATAACTAATACATGTTAATAAGAAATAAATAAATAAAACAAATTAAAACTTGTTCTTCATTTGTTTGTTCTTGTCTAAAGCACTGTAGGAAAAGACTCTCGGAGTTACCTGATGTGCTCCTGTGTCTGCACTGATATTAAGTGTTCCATTAAGCTTAATGAATAGAGCTGTCACCCTGAGAGATAGGACAAGCTGGTAAAACAAAGATGAAACAGGGATGAAATACATCTACGGAATTATGGTAGCTCATTGAGGGAAACAAGGATGCTATTCTTATTTACTGGAAACTACCTGGGCTTTGCTTCTAGCCAGTCTCACTGTGGAGGCTATATCAAGCTCCCTCCAAACTACCTCATGAGTTCAATGATGCTATGAAAATCTGGTATTGGGACTGTGAGAAGAAGTGACAGCAGTTGTGAGATCCCAGCACAGTGTCTGCCACATAGTATATGGTGATGTTTGTGATGTGTTGGAACAACCCAACCTTCCTGCAAACAATGTCCCAAAGTCATGGCTCAGACACTGCAGGGAATGAGGCTGTTACTGGTGGTAAATTGCATTGATCTGTTCTTCATGCCTGAATTTAACACCCTGGAATTTTTTCTTGATGTGTATACCAACAGTTTCTATCAGATTTCTGCTTGGCTATACCCCAAGGAGGCACTCTGGCTCCTCCAATAACCAGTATACCATAAGAGACCAGCTAACCCCAAATAGTCTCTAGATCTCTTAAGAGATGAGTAGCTTATTGCAGTGAATACATCAGAATCAGAAATTTACCTGGGAACAAGGTGCGGCTGATCATTCCTGGCATCACAATGAGGAACATGGGCAACAGCATTAGGTATCCATATAGAAGGCAGCCACCTTTCATGTGAGACATGTTCTTTCCTGCCAGGAATCGCTGGACAGAAACCTGCCAAGGAAACACGGGTGGATAAAGCAAGTGATGGTTCATTTTTCAGTGTGTGTTAAAGCCTGGGCTACCTCAACACATGGAACATGACAATGGTTATAGGCCACAGATGCAAGGTGTGCACTCTGGTGGTGTTTTGGTAAGCTGCTCAACCCTCAGTCAGACACTTCTGGGCCATCCAGGGCCAGGGAGACATGTGGCATTAACTAGCACATTTTGTACTATTGCATAGCTGCCAGATGGGATAGAGATGTGGAGTGACTTTGGACTCACTGATAGTGCTATTTACCAATAAAAGGCAGTGAAGGGCTTGTAAGCTGTCCCCTGGCAAGGACAAGATTTCACCTTGAAGGCCATAGGTTGTTTCTTCCAGACAGAAGGAAGGGGCCTTATCTCACCAATCAAAATGAAGATGGGCCCCTAGCAACAAATGAGTGCTGAGGACAGGGAGTAACTTAATTAGTTGAAACTGGAATTAATACCATAGCACTTTAAATGTAGACTTTCCCAGGAGATGTTTCAGGGCTCACTTCATGGCCCAAGTGCTGTAAAAGGCAGCATGCTGTCAGGCCAAAGTCAATGGTGACTTAGGAGAAGCACTTAGGAACAGAAAATAAAGGCATGGTGGAGAGGGAAAATGTGGAATATATAAACAATGGAGTATTAGCCACAAAGAAGAATGAAATATGAAATTATTTTGTTTGCAGGAAAATGGTGGAATTAGATGTCATCATGTTAAGAAAAATAAGTCAGACTGAGAAAGATAAGAACAGCATGTTCACTTTCATATGTGGAATAGCATCTTTAGGATGTTTATTCATACCAGGCATGTAAAACAGGTTTTGATTGGGGGTGGGTACCAGAAGTAAGTGAGAAGTATGAAAATAGAACTATGAAACCTGTTGAAATTGTTTCAAGAAAGGGGGAGGAGGGATGAGGCGGGAGGACACGGGATGAATTTGATTGAGGTACATTGTATGCATGTGTGCAATTACCACAATGAAGTCACTTTGTATGACTAATATATGCTAATAAAAATTAAAAGGTAAAGACATGGTCAAGACATTTAGTGCATTTAGACATTTAGTGCATTTAGTGCATTTAGACATGCACTAAAACTTATGTTCTTGAAGAACAGCCAAATAATGCCCACAGTGATTGAAAGGAACAAGACACAAAATAGTATATATAAACTGTGATATTATGCTTTGGAAACAAGTCCATGAGAATAAACCAATATGATAACCTGTGGATGAAGGGATTAAAGGGTAGACTTTTCATTTTTGTCTTTTTACTTTCTAAGTGCATTAATTTAATAACAGAGGAAGTAACTCAAATTTGCTGTCTCCCCATGCAACAGGTATTGATTCTTGAGAAGTCACCTGGCCAGTCTGTTGCTGGTTTTCTTGGTGAAGACGGGTGACTATTGAGCAGGTGGAGTGGCCACACATGTTGCAGTTCCTGGTCTTTGCTTAGGCCTGGTACAGAAATGTTTCTAATGGAGGGGATGAAGTAGCAGTGTGAGGGCATAAATATAAGGACATAAATGTCCTTATATTGAGGAAAGGGTGACATAAGAGCATTAAATCATTGTATGTAGTAAGTCCTAAGCACTTTAGCATATTATCATGTACTACAAAGAGGGGGAAGGAAAGAATTATTATTATAAAATGGTGGTGAGCTACACTATTAAGAATTTTCTGCCAGAAATTCAAATGGCCAAAAAACACATGAAAAAATGCTCACCATCTCTAGCAATAAAGGAAGTGCAAATTAAAACCACACTAAGATTCCACCTCACCCCTGTTAGAATAGCTATCATTAGCAACACTACCAACAACAGGTGTTGGCGAGGATGCGGGGAAAAAGGAACCTTCTTACACTGTTGGTGGGAATGTAAACTAGTACAACCACTCTGGAAAAAAATTTGGAGGCTACTTAAAAAGCTAGACATCGATCTACCATTTGATCCAGCAATACCACTCTTGGGGATATACCCAAAAGACTGTGACACAGGTTACTCCAGAGGCACCTGCACACCCATGTTTATTGCGGCACTATTCACAATAGCCAAGTTATGGAAACAGCCAAGATGCCCCACCACTGACGAATGGATTAAGAAAATGTGGTATCTATACACAATGGAATTTTGTGCAGCCATGAAGAAGAATGAAATGTTATCATTCGCTAGTAAATGGATGGAATTGGAGAACATCATTCCGAGTGAGGCCCAAAAGACCAAAAATCATATGTTCTCCCTCATATGTGGACATTAGATCAAGGGCAAACACAACAAGGGGATTGGACTATGAGCACATGATAAAAGCGAGAGCACACAAGGGAGGGGTGAGGATAGGTAAGACACCTAAAAAATTAGCTAGCAGTTGTTGCCCTCAACGCAGAGAAACTAAAGCAGATACCTTAAAAGCAACTGAGGCCAATAGGAAAAGGAGACCAGGAACTAGAGAAAAGGTGAGATCAAAAAGAATTAACCTAGAAGGTAACACACACGCACAGGAAATTAATGTGAGTCAATGCCCTGTATAGCTATCCTTATCTCAACCAGCAAAAACCCTTGTTCCTTCCTATTATGGCTTATACTCTCTCTACAACAAAATTAGAAATAAGGGCAAAATAGTTTCTGCTGGGTATTGTGGGGGTAGGGGAGAGAGGGAGGGGGTGGAGTGGGTGGTAAGGGAGGGAGTGGGGGCAGGGGGAAGAAATGACCCAAGCCTTGTATGCACATATGAATAATAAAAAAAAGAGAAAAAAAAAGAATTTTCTGCCTGTTTTTGGTTCTTTTTCAATTAATATTTTTTCTTAGAGTCACAGGTGTAAATAAGTCAGTGTTAGAACATTTGTCTAGAATATGCAAGGCCCTGGATTCAATACCTAACATGGAAATGGAACTTTTTTCTTAAACAGTGTCTTTCGCAATTTAGGAAGTTGTATATTTACTGCTATGCTTTTAATAAACTACACTTAAAATTTTAATAACAATACAACTTAAAGTCTAAGGTAAATCACTATCCCCTCCCATTTCTTGAATTATTTACAGACCATAGGCAGAGTAACTCCAAACTATAGTCACATATTTGTTTGATTTTTATTTACTGATTTAGTAATGATTATTGTGTGTGTGTTTTTTTTTTTTTTGTGGCACTGGGGATTGAACCCAGGGCTATGCAATTGTTCTCCCACTGAACCACATCTACATCTTTTAGTGTTTTGAGTCAGAGTCTCGCTATGTAGCTCAGGCTGGTCTCAATTTTGCAATCAAACTTCCTCCACTTCCCAGGTACTAGGACTACAGGCATGAGCCATCATCTCCAGTTTATTGCTATTTTAGTTAGTGCTTTAGGTTTACTCATGTGCCTGTCAATTTATTTTGGCTAATTTGCTACTCTCTAGTGCACATTCTTTGGCTTTTCTTTAGGAAAGGTTATATCTTTGTTGTCCTTGTTTTTGAGTAACACTTAAGCTAGATGTATAATTTGAAACTGACATTTCCCCAGTATTTTGAAACAAAATTCTCCTTACTTTCTTTTTTAACTTTACTTTTTTGAATTCTAGTTTCTGAACTCAGGTTGAGACCCTTAATTTGCTGTTGTTGCTTCTCGTTGCTGGTGGGCACTTTTTTTTTCCTAGTCCACCTTTCCAATGAAGGTATAGACTTTCAAGAATCTAACTTTTACATGGAGAACTTACTCTTCACCACTCACCAACTTAAGGCTTTCTGCGATTCTCATGTGGCAGCTCAAATCTAAGCCTTTGAAAACTAAGATTAGTAAATACTGTTAGGGCACTGTCAGTCTTGTCAGCATAGTTCTATTAATTTAAATTCTCTCTTTGTTTCTAACCTCTGGACATTTTCTTCCTTTCTTATGAGCTCCCCTATGACCATAAAGAGATGCTTGTTATATTTTTCCACCCTTCATGGGTGTTTGTTTTGTTTTGTATTGTTTGTATTGTTCAGGAAATTTAGTTTTCCTATTATGAGAAGAGGAAGTCTCAGAAGCAACATTTTCAAATTATGGTTATAGAGAAATTGAAAAGAAAAATATGGAAAGATCAAAAAATCTAGATAAAGTAGCACAATTAAACTACACAGGGGTTGGGAATATAGCTCAGTGGTAGAGGACATGCTGCTCATGCATGAAACAATGGGTTTAATTTCTAGTGCACAAACACACACACAAAACCGCATTCAAGACAAGAACAAAAATGCCCCTCCCCCAATAAATTGATGGGAATAAATACAAACAAAAATGAGAGCTACATTACAAAGAATAGCCATGTATTATGTTCTAGATCTGGTCTTGTTTCTTGTTCCTCCACTCAGTTTTAAAGGCCCATCAGTGTGTGTGCTATGTGCACAGCTAGTCTGTTGTTTCTAAGCACTGCCTAGCACTCTACAGTATTACCACTTACCATTTCATCTAGCTACTTTACAGTAATAACACTATCAACAATGATAAAATTCTCATACATAGTCCCTTATGAACTTGTGTTAGGATAGTTTACACAGATTCTGGGGATCATCACTGCTATGTCTCAGAGTACAATACATTTAATTTTATTAAATTCTCAGCTCACATTGTGGAATAAACTGCACTAGTGTATATATCCACCAGGAATGCATATGAGTTCCTAAATATCCATAGCTTCCTGAAGGCTTGACAACATAGAGCTTTCTAATGTTTGCCAGGCCCTTTGTGGTTTTAAATCGCACTTCCCTGATAACTTTGTTTTATATTATTGCTATCATTTGTGTTTATTTGAATTTCCTTTTCTATAAATTGCCTACCATCATCTTTTGTCTGTATTTCTATTGGAGCTCTTTTTTGTATATTTCTTGGTATTAGTTTTTTGTCCATGATAAACATTTCTAATACTCTTCCCTAATTTGTCATCTGGAAAGTTTGTCTAAGGTATTCCCTATTAGAAAGTCCTGATAGGGTAGAAAGGTGGGAGAGACTATATTGTGAAAAGAGAAAGAG